GATGTCAAGGAAATAAACAACTACCTGACTTTTAGAAGACATCTGAAGGCAGCCATGTTTAGGGAAGCTTTTAATGTTTGATGTTTTATCGTGTTTTTAATATTCTATTGGGAGCCGCCCAGAGTAGCTGAGGAAACCGAGACAGATGGGAGGGTATAAATATTATTATTATTATTATTATTATGATGGAATGTTGGATCAGGTGGGCTCCCTTTGGCCTGTTCTGGCAAGCTCTTCTTATGCTCTTACGCCAGAGGTCAGCAACCTTTTTCAGCCGTGGGCCGGTCCACTGTCCCTCAAACCATGTGGTGGGCCAGTCTATATTCTGAAAGGGAAAAAAATGAACGAATTCCTATGCCCCACAAATAACCCAGAGATGCATTTTAAATAAAAGCACACATTCTACTCATGTAAAAACATGCTGCTTCCCAGACCGTCCATGGGCCGGATTTAGAAGGCGATTGGGCCGCATGTGGCCCACGGGCCTTAGGTTGCCTACCCTTGTCTTACGCCTGCCATGTTTTCGACTACAGTTGCCATAGCTCCAGCCAGCACTGTCCTATAGGCACCTCTGGACAAAGCCCACGGCAGTGATGCAGTCTAGATCCAGCTTGCGGACTGCTGTAGCGAGGTCCCTTTGAAAAGGTATTGATCGGTGGTGCTTGATTGTCGGTTGCTTTTGATAGCCTGTTGAGTGGAGTTTCACTGAACTTGCTTTGACCTTGTCGCTAACGTCTAATCTGTGCCTTGTCAATAGCCTCCCGTGTCCTGCCTTGGGGGGTCTCCTCCAGCCTGTCCACCATGAGAAACTGTGTTAGAAAATCAGATCTATAAGCTAATCACCAAATGACACCTTAAACCTAGGCTTCAGTCATCACAACGGAATGTCTAGGCGCCTTTTGCTTGGCAATAGAAATTATTATTATTATTATTATTATTATTATTATTATTATTTCTATACCACTTTATATTTTAAAGAAATATTCCAAAATCAAATAAAGGCCCAGGAGATTTCCTTGGCAGGGAGGCCATAGATCAGCGTTGGATCAGGTGCTTGCTTGCAGAAGGTCTCAGGTTCAATAATTTATGTGTTCAAGTGGGTTAAGAAAGGAGCCCTGTCTAAAACCCGGGAGAGCCATTGCCAGTCAGTGATGGGCACACCTGTGCAATACAAGGCTTATTTATTTGCCTACTTTATGGAGTTGTTGCAAAATATTAAAGTAAGGCAATGTATGTAAAGCCCTTTGAACATTTTAAAAAGAATGCTAAGCGAATGCTGCACTAATAATACGATTGCAACCTTGTAAATAATCCCACAAAGGCAAAAGCATCATCACCATCCTTCTGTGGATTGGCAGAGGATAGAAGGAGAACTCCATCCTGGCTGGATTTTTCTTTCTAATTCTCCCCCTGCCCCCCAAAAACCACTTTTATTATAAGAAACTAATTATTACCAAGTCTGTTCTTTTTTTTTTTTTGCCATAGTAATTTGCTTCAGAACTTAACTGAATAAAAAGGCTGACATCTACTCACATATTACAGATAAATGGGCAGTAAGCATATTAGCAAGAACTGGTCCTGTCTTTCAGGAGCGTTGAAGGGATTGTAGGATATGTGTTTGATGTTTTAATTTGTTGGAAGCCGCCCAGGGTGCCTGGGGCAGCCCAGTCAGATAGGTGGCATATAAATTATTATTATTATTATTATTATTATTATTATGGCCAGAATTCTGTGTTGGGCATGAAAGAGAGGGAGCGTCTCACTTGGTTTCTGCGCTGGGTACAGAAGAGGCGTGGAACACTCCATTCACTCCCTGGCCAGCCCATACGCAATGCCTTGTTGCCTTGTTGCTTACCGCTGTGAGGCTAGTACTTAATTACAAGGCTATATAGCCTGGTGTGAAGAATTGATGCTTTTGAATTTTGAATTATGGTGCTGGAGGAGACTCTTGAGAGTGCCATGGACTGCAAGAAGATCAAATCTCTCCATTCTGAAGGAAATCAGCCCTGAGTGCTCACTGGAAGGACAGATCGTGAAGTTGAGGTTCCAAGACTTTGGCCACCTCATGAGAAGAGAAGACTCCCTGGAAAAGACCCTGATGTTGGGAAAGATGGAGGGCGCAAGGAGAAAGGGATGGTGGAGGATGAGATGGTTGGATAGTCTTCTCGAAGCTACCAGCATGAGTTTGACCAAACTGCGGGAGGCAGGGGAAGACAGGAGTGCCTGGCGTGCTCTGGTCCATGGGGTCACGAAGAGTCGGACACGACTAAACGACTAAACAACAACATAGCCTGGTGTCAAAGTGCAAGGGTCAAAGAATCATTGAGTTAGCAGGGAGTGAGGCCCAGTTCTGTTTTTGCTCTGGTTGAAATCATTTTGGCTGTGGACGTACCCCATTCAAACACAATGGCATTTCTTCTTTGTGGACTCGTGTGTGTGTGTGTGTGGTATCACAATGCCCAAAGGCACACGAGTCCTGGTGGATTGGTTCCAGCCTCTACCTTGAGAAGCTTTCCTGCACCTGTAAGTCCCCGTATAAATGTCTCGCCCAACCTACTTTTGAAAACCTTGCTTCTGTACCGTTGGGAGGCTGAGGGCAGGAATGCGGCACAGCCTAGCCAGACTGCATGAGCAACTTTTGTGCTGTCTAAGCTGGCATCTGCCTCGAGGGCATTGTGCAACGTTGGGTGGGATTTTTGTGGAAAGTCCGTGGCAGCATGTTGGCAGAACGCCTTCCTTTTCATGGAAACGCTGGCGGAGCTGAGGAATGGGACTGGGCTTCTGCCAAAAGTGGGTAATGAAGAAGCCTTGCGTGATCTTCACATGCAACGCAGCCTGGGTCATGGGACTTGCTTGAGTCTTGCTGCTGTTGGGAGGTTGGAGTTTGCTTGCTGACCTCACCTTCTCCCATCCTACAGACTTGATTGTCCAGGCTGCTAGGAACTTGTTTCCAGTACGTTGCCAAAAGAAACTTTCCCCTATTGCCTTTTAAGGGGGGGGCTTTACAATAACCAAACCAACAGGTGCCATTGTGCAACTCTTCCAATTGGACCATTTAGATCTAGGGTTGTTGGCTCTGACTGGCAGCAGCTCTCCAGGTTGCCAGGATGAGATCTTCCTGATAGGGCTGGGTGATATCTGGTTTTCAACATTGCAATATACCACCAGCTAAATATCAGCAATATATCAGTATATCATGATGTCTGAAATAAGGATGCAACTTTGTAGAGGCAAACAGTAGGGCCGTGCGATAACTGGTTTTCAACATCATGATATATCACCAGCTACACATTGCAATATACTGATATGTCGCAATCTCTGAAATAGCGATGGAGCTCTGCAGAGTCGTCAGCTGGCTTCACAGTTTTCCCCACATTGTGATTTTTGCATAGCAAACACACACATATCATGATTCACAATATATTGCCAGGTCAAAGATTATGTGACCACTGTCACGATATGGACTTCAAAGCGGTTTTGGAGGATATACAGCAGACGCTCAGGTAGTGAACGTGATCCGTGCTGGAGGCACGTTCGCAACCCGTAGCGCCGCGTCTGCACACACGTGGGTCATGATTTGGTGATTCTGTGCATGCGTGAGCGCCGAAACCCGGAAGTAACCCGTTCCGGTACTTCTGGGTTCAGCGTGGTGTACAACCCGAAAATACACAACCTGAAGCATCTGTAACCCAAGGTATGACTATATTGCCCAGCCAAACTTCCCTGTTGCCTATTATCTCTCATTTTTAAAAAACTGGCGGTTCCAGGATGGAACGTGGGGTTTTCTGCATGTAAGGCACGGCCTGCGCCATCAAGCCACAGACTTTTCCCATAAATACAATCGCGCTGTACTATTTGCCTACGTAAACTAGTTGTTGCCAGCCTAGTTTTGTAGATGTCACATGACAACACATTATTATTATTATTATTATTATTATTGTTGTTGTTGTTGTTAATGTTAATATTATTATTAAATTTGCATACCGCCCTTCATCCGAAAATTACAAGGCGGTTCACTGGTGGCAAGACTAGTGTCTCCTCCTGAGAAGCTCTACTTGTTAGCAATGCTGTTTCTTAACGCATCCCTTGCTGCAAGCATGAAGGTTCGGCTGTGATCTCCAACTAACAACAAGCGTTGGCGTGCCTATTATCTCTTAGTAATAGAGAAAACAATGTAAATTGCTAATTCCAGGCTTTTTGCAGCAGACGTGCTCCCTGGGAGCGAGCCTGTTAGACAGACGCTGAACTCTTAGGTTTCTGTATTTAAAGATGAGTTCTACTCTGCGTCTCTTTGGGGGGGGTGTTGTTGTTTCTGTTTTGCTTTAGCCTCTTATGAGTTTAATGACTGGGGAAGCAGGGAGTGGTGTGGATGAACAGGAGCTCGCAGAAAAGCAACTAGTACTTTGTGGCTTTCTCCAATCAACTCTGCAGACCAGCTGGCAGAAGAACTGAGGGAGGGGAGGGGAGATGATGACATCCTTCTGAGCACTGGGCTTTCCGCTTCCAGAAGTTTCCTAGCGGCGCCCACCTCCCTGCCAAACTTGGAGGCACAAGCACCATTGCTTTAAAAGGCTGGAGGAGAAAAAGAACATTTTAATAATAATAATCTGCTGAACGAGGAAAATAACCAGCAGGGTCCAGTCACAGCGAGGGGATTTGAACCCTCGTCTCCCAGGTCCTAGTCTGACACTCTATAACCACTGCACCGCACTGTCTCTGGGGTTATTCAGTACACCTGCAATGACCATTGGTGCACTTGATACTCTCATATCGTTCAAAAGCATGGCAACCGCTCAGTCAGGTCCTGCCAGCGAACAGTTTATACTTCCAGGATGATGGTGTTCGGGCCAAAGGCTCCCCGTCGGAATGATGTAATCTGGGGACTACTTGTTGAAGAACACGGCTTTAAAAAGAGGCAGGCAGTGGGATCTGGGCTTGGGTAGCCCAGCTCGGCTACTAGCTCAAACTGTTAACACGTTCTCCTGTTCCCTCCTTTGTAGGGTTTAGTGTCTAGGAAGGCGAACCAGGAGAACTCCAGCCATGGCCCCACGGAAAAGGAGCGGGCGAGGGATCTCGTTTATCTTCTGCTGCTTCCGGAGTAATGACCACCCGGAGATCACGTACCGGCTGCGGAATGACAGCGCCTTTGCCCTGCAGACGATGGAGCCCGCCCTGCCCATGCCTCCGGTGGAAGAGCTGGACGTTATGTTCAGCGAGCTTGTGGTGAGTGATTGCCCCGCACTTGTCTGTATTCCTGCTTTTATTTATTTCCATAAAAAATGTATTTATTATTCATTAGAAATAACAGTAAAACCAGACCTTAAGCAAAATGATGAAAACATAGATTAGGTCTGCTGTTTTTATTTTTTAATGTACAGGTGGGGGGTCCCCCCCCCCGTTCCTGACCCCTGTGCGCATTGATGGAACAGGCATAAGCCCGCCCCGTTCTGCCCTGTTTTCCGGCCACTTCCGGGTTGGCAGCGATGAGCACGTGTGTGATTGCACGCCAACCCGACACACGTAAAACGCTCGCTGCCTGCGCGTAATAAAACCACAGTCCTGTCTTGGTAGGCTTGCCGAAGCAAAATAAGTTTTTGGACAGGTGTTGAAAGCAATACGATGGAGGTGCCTACTTGATGTCAAAAGGCAGGGAGTTCCAGAGATTATGTGCTGGCACACGTATAATTATGACGTGCTTGTAAAAGTGTCAGTCCTGCCAATTGAAGTGGTCGAGTAGGAACATGGGGGCCAAGGTTGCATTGTTTGGCTGTTTCACCATAGCCTCACTGCCTCAAGGGCTGCACCATTGTGCCCGTGGGCACTGGGTTAATGACCCCTGCTTTGGCCCCCCCAGCCCATTTGCCATTTCCAGTGCCGGACAAGCAAAACTGAATCCAAGCATGCCAACACCAGCTGTGTCTTTGGCTGGCGAGTTGGCTTCCCCCTTGTGCCAAGGCCCTTACACACAAATGGCCGCACGCTTGGGCATTGTAAGATGAGGGTGAGCCTCTTGTCTCGCTGCCTGTCAGGGCTTTGCCTGCTTTTTCCGCCACACACAAGGAGAGAGGGGTTTGCGGGTGGGGGGGGAGAGGCTCTCACAAAAGGGCAGCCAGCCCTGGCTTTGCTTTTTGACGGGGTGCAGTTTCGCAGCTGCTTGGAAAGGGATGGGGTTGCCGAGGCAACCTGCAAGGCTTCCTCGGATGGGCGATGGGTGGGACATGCCTTGTTGACTTCCAGTGTTTCAGCTTTTGGGTTAACGCTACCTTAAGGCTTCGGGGAAGAATAGGAGAGGGAGCAGCGGGGTCATTGGGGAGGGATGGGGGCTGGTGCGGCAGGTGGGTGGGCAAAGCCCGTGACCATGGGATCTTCGGACAATTACCAAGTGAATACCTTTGGTGCTTGCCGGACCAGAAGGTCGAATTCTTCCAGGCTCTTGTCTTGCTCCCACCCCTAAATCTCTTTGTGCTCCAGCCCCATCTGGCACCAGCTGTTGCATAATCTCACCAATTCATCTGTCCATCAAGACGTTGAGCACTTCTGGGATGTTTACAATGGAAAAAAACCCATGCATGAGACGTCTTGTTGGGAGGGTAAGCAGTTCATGCAGATAGGACTTGTCCGGTCCATCCCAGATTATGAAATCCTAGAATTCTGCAGTTGGAAGGGACCCTGAGGGTCATCTAGTCCAACCCCCTGCAATGCAGGAATCTCAGCTAAAGCATCCATGCCAGATGGCCATCCAAGCTCTGCTCAAAATCCTCCAAGGAAGGAGAGTCCGCAGCCTCCCAAGAGAATCTCTTCCACCATCAAACAGCTCTTTCGACAGTCACAATCTCTTCTCTTGTAACTTGAAGCCATTGGTTCAAGTCCTGCCCTCCAGAGCAGGAGAGAGCAAGCTTGTTCCCTCTTCCATTCCCTCTTCCATGTGGCAGCTCTTGAGATATTTGAAGATGGCTATCGTATCTCCTCTCAGTTTTTTTCATCTCCAAGCCAAACATCCCAGCTCCTTCAACCATTCCTCATAAGGCTTGGTTTCCAGTCCCTTGATCTTCTTGGCTGCCCTTCTCTGCACATGTTCCAGCTTGTCAATATCCTTTTTAAATTGTGGTGCCCAGAACTGGACACTGTATTCCAGGGTCTGACAAAGTCACAATAGGTAAAGGGTAAAGGGACCCCTGACCATTAGGTCCAGTCGTGACCGACTCTGGGGTTGCGGTGCTCATCTCGCTTTATTGGCCGAGGGAGCTGGCGTACAGCTTCCGGGTCATGTGGCCAGCATGACTAAGCCGCTTCTGGAGAACCAGAGCAGCGCACGGAAACGCCGTTTACCTTCCCACCGGAGTGGTACCTATTTATCTACTCACACTTTGATGTGCTTTTGAACTGCTAGGTTCGCAGGAGCAGGGACCGAGCAACGGGAGCTCACCCCATTGCGGGGATTCAAACCGCCGACCTTCTGATCGGCAAGTCCTAGGCTCTGTGGTTTAACCCACAGTGCCACCTGCAACCAAGTCACAATAGAGTGGTACTATTTACTTCCCTTGATCCGGACACTAGACTTCTGTTGATGCAGCCTAGATTAGCATTAGCTTCTTCTTCTTCTTTTGCTGCTGCTGCTACTGCTGCATCACAATGTTGGCTCACGTGGTCCACTAAAACCCCTAGATCCTTTTCACACATATTGCCAGTGAGCTAGGTGTCCTCCATCTTCTGTTTGTGCAGAGACAGACTGGAAAACAAGGCTTGTTGCTTCCATTAATGGAAGATGGATTCATGCCTTTTAACAGTGGCATTAGAGGTCGAAAATCTGGGAGCGCACCTTTTCTCATTGCTCCAAATTTCCATGGCAGAGGAAATGTAGCTGTTGCCTTCTCCCATGCCTTTGAACGGTGTCGCCCCTGCCTTTAGAAGTGATGGCCCCGATCCCCTATGAGAATCAGGATTACAAGAAGGAAAAAGCTTGATATCCTGATTGCTGGGGTACCTTTGAAAGCATGTGAGCCGCACTGAGGAACCTGAAATCTTGGAAGTTTGATTGGGATGGGTAGGGCCGAGTTGGGTTTTTCCAGAGGAGCAGCGAAATAGCAGCTAGGTCTTTGCTCATCAGTGCAACGGGCGTAATTTGTACAGTTTTTGGCATGCCTCTTTTTGGGGGATGCAGAATTCTCATTTCCATTCGTCAGCGCGCACCCGCTCCCAGCAACATACTGAAGCACTTTAGTATTCAGAGTGCAATGGAATGGATATCCCTATAATATGGTATAATCCTCAGGGGCGCAAATGTACCTCATTGCAGTTAAAAGGCATGGAGCAAGCATAGCTCTGGGGCAGATTAACCCCTTTGGTTTGGGAGGGCGCTTAAGCCTTCCGTGTCACCAGCAGCCATTACAGACGCAGAGCCATTTTAATCATTACATCATGCACTATGGATCATGCTTGCTATCAGAATGGGGGAGGCAGCGTTGAAGGCACAGGTAATCCAAGCCTGAGACAATGACTTTCAGGACAGGTGCGTTGCTGAGCAGCCTTAAGTGATACTCTCTGGAAGGGAGGAAGTGCCAACTTTCCAGTAATATGTGGATTTCCCCTCCAGTGGGTATAAGAGAGAGAGAGAGATCATCTTATTCTTATCTCTCTTGGCATAGATACTAGTCATGGACTCTGAGGAGCTAGGATGAGGGGTAGGAGCCACCCAAAGATTTATTTATATATGAAAATATTTGTATACTTCTGTTATACACAAACACATGCAATCAAAATTATTCAACCCCCATTGCAAATCAGGTTTATTATCAAAATCCACAGACTTTCAGCTGCAATTTCGTTGCAGTTTCAGTTGCTTTTGTTTGATTTGCTCATTGCAAACAGCTGAAAGTCTCCATATGGTCGCAGTTGCAACTGGCACCTGGGGGGAGATTTCAAACACTGCCGGTGACCAATTCCTTGCTTATACACCGTTCCGATTTGAGCAGTAAAGTCTCTAGCAGCAAACAAAGTCTGAGTACTTTGTCCAGGTCAGGACATCGCTGCACCGACAAGAGCATCCTTTCCAAAGCTGGTTCCCTGCAAAAGTTTGGGACTACAATTTGCATCCAGCATCAACAGCATGGAACTGGAAGTCTGTTGAAGGAGGCTCAACCCAAAAGTGGTTTAATTTAGCATGGCAAGCTGCTTTATTGGAAAGACTTTTGTAGCAAATTAAGGCAGCAAGACAGACAAACCCCCAAGGGAAACTTTTTAGGTCAGTGGTTTGGCTTCATATACAGCGGGCTGGAAGCGAATCTATTATATTATCTGTTCCCGTTCTGAATGGATCTTGACGGAGGGGTGTATTAGGCTGTGAATATACTTGACGACTTACTTTGTATTTACCTGGGGGAAACGCGGGTGGCGCTGTAGGTTAAACCACAGAGCCTCGGACTTGCCGATCAGAAGGTCGGTGGTTCGAATCCCCGCGATGGGGTGAGCTCCTATTGCTCGGTCCCTGCTCCTGCCAACCTAGCAGTTCGAAAGCACGTCAAAGTGCAAGTAGATAAATAGGTACCGCTCCGGCGGGAAGGTAAACGGCGTTTCCGTGCGCTGCTCTGGTTCGCCAGAAGCGCCTTAGTCATGCTGGCCACATGACCCGGAAGCTGTACGCCGGCTCCCTCGGCCAATAAAGCGAGATGAGCACCGCAACCCCGGAGTCGGTCACGACTGGACCTAATGGTCAGGGGTCCCTTATACTTGACGACTTATTTTGTATTTACCTGGGGGAAAAGAAAAATGAGGAAATAAGTTTAGGTTAATTTTCTCAGGACTAAGACCTCAAAATACGTCATATCATAAGAGCTGATGCATGTTAATCTTAGAAAATGAACATAAAAGAGCTTCTCATTTTTGCACATGAAGGCAGGCGATCTCGCACTTATTATCACGTTACCTCTAGAATGGCTTGAATCCTAATAGCTGAGATTTCAGAGGAAGTGCATGAGGCTAAGGAAGCAAGTTGGGATACTAAACTGACTCTAATTTAGGGATTAGTCGAAGAGGGAGAAAAAGACCAACCGTCCTGATTAGCACCTCCTGAAACAGTTCACCTAAACACAGGTGTCATTCAAAATTTGCACTTCTCTGAATTTTATGATGCAGCGCCCCCAACAAAACAATGTGTGCAAAAAAATGGGCATCTTAGGGCAATTACACTCGTTTAGTGAAAATAACGTACACAAATGCATTGCGTA